GCCTCCTACACCTGGCTGTCCCTCTCAAATGGTAACAGATGGTTAACTGGAAACACCAGCTCGGTGCCTGCAGTGCGGTTGCTCAGCAAGGATCCCACTGGTTTGTTCCTACAGTGGGAACCATGGCTCCAGGCAGCAGCAGGTGACCCTTGGGAAGAAAGTCAGGGGACCCCGGGGTATTTTAAGGGGGAGAGGGGCACAGAGCCATCTTGAGTCATCCTCAGAAACCCTGCTCAAAACAGTGGCAGTGATGCAGCTTTATAAACAGCAGCCTCATTCATAAAAGCACACCTGGGCACTGAAGTGTGATAAACCTGGAGGATGGATAATATACTCCATGCCATGGAGTATTACACGCTATAGAAAAGGAAGGAACCACAGCTACGCATAACAAGGACAAATCGTGGGGCGTAATGAGCAACAAAGCAAATTACAGGAAGGATACCATTTAGAAAGCACGAAGCTAAACAGCCTCATACGGTTACATATGACACTCATATTACTAGGGGTGGCAGGAAATGTGTGGTGATAAAACTACTTAAAAAACAAAATAAGGATGTAATCAACACAAAAATCAAACTTGTGGTTAACTCTGAGATGGTCAGTTGGGTCCCTGGTGTTCACTTTATTATTTTATTATATAGGCGCCTCTTGATTATATGTTTTTGTAGGTGTCAAAAACATAATTAAAGACATCCAAAGGCACTGCAGCTATCATGACTCAAGCACGAGCACTGTGGCTGGTCCCCCAGTTCGTCACAAGCGCTGCTGTAGTGCCCGCCCACAGGGCTCACCGAGCACACGTGGCTCACACCCCCTGGGCTCTGGGGAGTCTCCCCGCTCAGGCAGCCAGATGACAGGGCTGCTGCCTGGCATGGTGAGGTCAAAGGTTAGCAGCGGTTATTCTGTTAGCACACTGAGGCCCCTTGACATCTCCTCTCTCCGGTTTTCCATCTCCCCCTCAAACCTGACCCATATGCTTCCGCAAGCTGATTTGCACTCGACTGCGGGCCTGTTTGCCTGGAGTACAACTCCAGCCCCACCACTTTCCTTCTACTCGTTCAGCCGTTCAACAAATATTAACTATGCACCTACTACGTGCCAGGCACCATTCTCAGTGCTGGGGATGCAGCAGTGAACAAGACCACACAAAAATCCCTGCCCTCGTGGAGCTGACATTCTAGTGAGGGAGGCAAACACTAAATTAATAAATATGAATCAGGTGGTGACAAGCAGAAGCCTAGAGCTGAGTAAGGGGACAGGGAGTGGAGGGAAGGGCAGGGAGTGGGTTTGGATAGGGTGGTCGGGAAGGTCTCTCTAAGGAGGTGGCCTTGGGTCAGGGACCTAAATGAAGGGAGGGGACCACGTGGGTATGTGGGAAGGGTCTTCCAGGCTGTGGGAGGCACAAGGGTAAAGGCCCGGCCCCTGCTCACTCGAGTCTCTTTCTTTCCCTGGGGCTCCCCCGCCCCTCCCCAGCCTGTCTTCTTTCTCAAGCCCTCTCCCCTCTGCTTACCTCTTGCCCTATTCTAGTTGTGGGTGTGTTTTTTTTTTTTTTTAATTGAAGTACAGTTTGTTTGCCTTATTCTAGTTGTCCAGGGGGCCCAGGCTTTTGGGGGAAGAGGACGGGGACGTTTCCAGACCACCGAGGCATCCCATTTGCATTGACCTTTGCTCTGAACATTTAACCCGTCTCCATGGCTCCTGGCAAGACAGCTCTCCTGCAGGAACTATCCTGGAGTCAGACTTCCTGAGCCATCTTCCACTTAGCTCCTTTCCTGCCAGCCATTGCCAGGCCTCAAGGCTGGATTCAGCCTACAGGCTGTGACTTTTCACATCCTTGTCAAACCTGTAACAGCAATGTCTGGAAAAAAGATGTCGGCTTAATTACTATTATTAGCACCAACGACTTCCTACTGCTGAGGTTCCCTGAGCGCCGCCTGCAGGTAAACTCACCTGGAAAACCATTTGGGGATGTTCTCCCCCTGTGATCACCTGTATATCTCCAGGGTTGCTGTGGCAGCTGCTAGAGCAGCCCGGGCAACGGATGAAGATCAGAAAACATCGCAGATGTGGGAATGAGCCCAGAGACCAAGGAGCCCAACTGTCAGGCTGACAATGTTTATCAGCTTCTGCTCCCAACCCCCATATCCCAGCAAACTCAGCGCTCAGGCAGATGGTCAGAAGGGTACGCTGGTGGGTGTCAGTCACTTCCAGGACGGCCTGCTGTGAAGGTGGAAGCCTCAAATGTAGTCACTTATTATTGTTGTGTTAAATCCTGAAGGAATATATTTGCAGGCTGATTCTCGACCTTGGAGATCTCCAGCCTCGTCCATTCATTCATTCATTCATTCACTCTTTCATTCAAGCTCCTACACTGTGCAAGACCCTACACTGGGTGCAAGGGGTACAGACACACGGAATGTCAAGGCACATTTATTGCACTCTTAAGATCTATCAACACCCTTCTAAGTGCCTTACCTGTATTTCCTCATTTAATTCACAATCAACTCTACAGGGTAGGTATTATAGCTGAGGAACTGTCGGCGGGCAAGGCAGGAACTATTAGTGCCACTGCCCAGGCAGCACACGCCGAGTCAAGGGTCAAGGTCTACTCTGCCCTCGTGAAGACACAGGCCTTGTCTCTGGAACTTATCAGCTGGCGGGGGAGCACAGAGATGGACACCAATAATATACCTGACAGTGTGGCAACTGAGGCAGTACAAACATCAGTCATTATATGACAGAGTTTGTTATAAGAAGCCCTATCACAGAGGGAAAGAGCAACTATTGTGGGATCACACAGGATCTGTCAGATGTTGAGCACGGCTTCTTGGTGACCCAAGCTTGGGTCTCAAAGAATGCACAGGAATTTCCCTCCTGGACCAGAGGGGAGAGAACTTCCTGTGCAAGCATCTGGAGAAACAGACCTCCATGCTAAGAGGAGAATATGAGCGTCCGGGGTGGAGGATGGTGGTGGAAATACCTCCTGTGGAGATTCCTTCTACTTCTCTTCCTATTTCTTCTTGGTGAAACTAAAGAATCCAAGCCCCCAAAGGGACCTCTGTTGAAATTTTGACATTGTATTTCCCCTCGAGCTGTCCATAGCATCTGAGGCTCATCAGGCCAACCTTCATCACCTCATAGGTCCTTGCAGGTGCCTGAGGTTATGCCGGTCACATCAGAAGGCATCTCCGGATCTTCCTTCCTCACATCTCTGGATATCTGAGTTTCAGCTTCACCCTTGGTTGACTGGTGTCCATGTCTTTTCTTCCCAAGAACAGCCCTGGGGCTGCTGAGGGGATGAGAGACAAAACTGCAGGTAAGAACTCCTGGAAAGCTAGAGTAAGGCACCCCTAGAAGGGATGATGTTGACTATGACTTGGTGCTTCCTCATACCTGACATTCCAGACTGTCAGCTCCATCCTCAAATGCGGTATCCAGAATCCAACCCTCTCACCACTGCCACAGCTATCACCCTGGTCCATCCACCACCATCTCCCTCCTGAACTACTGGCAGTATTCTCAGCCCTGCAGCCACAGTGGTATTCCTAAAATGTAGGTCACGTCATGACGTTCATTAAAAGTCCTGCATGGATGCCCCATTTCACCAGAGGAAAAGCAAAGTCTCCATAATGGTCCGCAGGCCCAACATGAACTCAGCTCTGACTCCCACCTCTGAACTCTCCTGCTTCGACCCCCCCCCCTTACTCTACCCCAGCCACTTGGGTCTCTTTCCTGTTCCCCCAGCTTATTAAATATGCTCCAGGGCCTTTGTACTTGCTTGCGGTACCCTCTTCCCAGAGATGTTCTCTCTCACCTTCTTCAAGTCTTTGTCCAATGTCACTTCAAGGAGGCCGTCTCTTACCACCCTGTCAATTCTTTACTCTCCTCATTGGACCCTGCTCTGTTTCTTCAGCTAACCATTTTTACCTTCTGATTTACTACTTTATTTTGCTTATTTATTCCCCTGCCTGGAATGTAACCAAGGCAGGTATTTTGTTAGTTTCCTGCTGTATCCCCAGCACCTGCAACAGGACCTAGCCATAGTAGGTGATGACTACATAGTTATCGGATAACTGAAAGAAGGCACAGTTTGGACGCCTGCCCTCAGCTCTGTCTGCAAGGCCAAGACAAGGAAACCCCCCTGCGGACTCTGCATCCTCCTCAGAGGGCAAGGTAGCTGACATCTGAGCTGGCAGTCCTTGCCCTGTTCAATCCAACTCGCCTGAACAGACATTGATGGAGCCCTGGGCAGGTGCTGAGCCTGCATGAGAGGGATGAGTCTCCACCCACCTCGAACTGGGTGGGGCGAAGGCTGCCTGGGGCAGAGGGGGCCTGCTAAGGGGCACAGGCCAAGCCAGGCCCAGAGGGATCTCCCAGAAACCTGAGATGGCAGGGCAAGCTCAGGCAGGCCTCCCCGTCACACCCACCTCATACCCCAGGCCCACTAGTCCGGCCTGGCCCGTGACCGTCCCCAGGGTCACTGCCCTTTCTAGGCCCTATTCCTGAGGGTCTGTGGGGCTCCCAGTCTCTGCCTCCCTCCCTCCCTTTCTCCCGGGTCTCCCTCCTCCACGCCCCCATTCTGCCAGACTCCTACCACCACAGCCCCTGCTTTTCCTCACCTCTCTCTTCCACGCCTTCCCCCTCGAATCTGGACCCCAGCCCCAGCCCCCCTCCAGGTCCCGTTCCCGGGCCTCCTTCCCCAGCCCGGCCTCCGCAGCACCTCGCCCCTCCTCGCGCCTCCCCCTCCCCCCGGCCCCGGCCCCGGCCCCGGCCCCGGCCCCGGCCCCGACCCGGGCCCGCGCTGCGGCTCCGGCCCTGGCCGGTAGGGGCCGCTCCTCGCGACACCCGGGGCCCCGCCGCGCCAGCCGCCGCCGCCCGCCTCCCCGCCCCTTCCCCAGCCGGCGCTCCCGTTACGCCGCGGAGCCGGGAGCCGGAGCCCGAGCCCGCGGCGGCAGCGGGTGGCGGCGACGGGGGCGCCCGGGCGGCGGCGGCGGCGGCGGCGGCGGCGGCGGCGGCGGCGGCGGGGCCTGCGGGGCCTGCAGGGGGGCTGGCCGGACCCGGCCAGGCCGCGATGGCGACCAAGAAGGCGGGCTCGCGGCTGGAGACGGAGATCGAGCGCTGCCGCTCCGAGTGCCAGTGGGAGCGGATCCCCGAGCTCGTCAAGCAGCTGTCGGCCAAGCTCATCGCCAACGGTACGCGCCGGGCGCTCCGGCCTGGGCTGCTGGAGGCGCCGCGGCCTCCACCGATCACCGGGCCGGGCCCCCGAGGCGCGGCGGGGCGCGGGCAGGGGCGCGGCCGGGTCACGAGGGCGCTGCGGCCGGAGATGTGCGCGGCGGGGCCAGGGCCTCGGGAACCCGGGGTCCGCGGAGCGGCGCGGTGGGGGCCTCCGGCGGCCGAGGGCTTGTGCCGGGCGTCCCAGAGTTCCGGCGTGCAGGGCGGGCTTCTGCGGAGTCAGGGGGTGGGTGTCTCGGAGTTGGCTGCTGTACTGGGGTCCCAGGGGGTCAGGGGCCGGCCTAGGGGCTCTGAGAAGTTGGAGGTGATGGGGGGAGGGTGCGTCCTCAAGACTCGGGTGTGGATGTATGGGGATCCAGGGTGTGTGTATGGTGTACTCGGAGTCATGATGTATTTACGGGGGTTCTGCGAATGGGGGTGGTGAGCAGAGACCCCTGGGAAATATGCTCTGTAAACAGATGGCGTTCAAGGGGCTCCAGGTGGAAGCCCAGGCTTGGGGTGTGTGTGGGGTGGTGCTGGAAATCAGGTTGAGATGTGTCCCGGGATCCAGAGGGTAGGATGTCGAAGCTGTGGATCTAGGAAGGTCGGGTTTGGGAATATGGGGGAAATAGAGTCAGGGGAGTCAGGAGGGAGAATATTGTGGAGAGAGGTGGCAATGTGGTTGAAGAATGTTGGGAAATGGAGTTGGGTGTGTGAGGGGCTTGGGGCCTAGAGGAAGAGGGGGTCGGAGAGATCCAAGGAGTAGGAACCCGGTGCCTGGAGTTAGTCTATGACCCGGTTGACTCAACTGGTTCTCATACCCAGTGGAATCAAAATTGCATCCAAAATGCCATTTCAGAGCATAGCTCCACGTGTCCTTATTTGTTTTGGAAGCAAGTATCCTTAATATTTGCTTGTCTTTTAGTGCCCGCCAAAACCGCAGGCACCGATGCACTGGCGGGAGGGCAGAGGTTTTGTCACATTTCATCTCAGGCTTCCTGAGGCTGGGTGAGCCTATGTTGGCTGAACAAATGAATGAATGAAAGAATGAATAAATGACACTGTTCTGAGAAAGGACCGCCACACTGCTTTCAACCTTCTCGCCTCAAACTACCCAGAACTGGAGAGGGATGTCGTGTGTCCTCTTCAGGAATGGTTTATATTTGTGCCTTTTATAGTATCAGAGCCTCAAAATAAGAACTTGGTTTTGTGCACTCTCAACTGTGGTACCTTGCTTTGGGCCGGTACTTCCTGGGCAGGTGCAGGTGCCATGATCATACCAGGGGCATGGAGGAAGCACAGACCTACCTGGGCTCAGCATGTGGAACATGTTGACTCTTCTCAGTTACGCGAGCATTTGAGGAAAAGGTGTTCAGTCCCCTGGGCCCCAGTGGCAGCCTGACCTTGCTGTCCCTATAAGGGTCACGAGCTTGGCCTCTTGCTTCTCTTCCCCGTACCTGCAAAGTTTTCTTGTTTCTTCAGAGCTCGACAATCCTGGGTCTACTTTGTCACTTCCCAGCTGTGTGGGCATATAATACCTTCAGGGCGTATTATACCTTCAGGGCATATAATACCTTCATTGATCTTAGGATTAAATAAGTTCATTTGTGAGCCCCCTGGTTTTTCCCTTCAGAACACACTTGTTTCCTGTTTTATGTACTCATTCAACCAGTATTTGCATGCCCACATGTGTCGGGCATCAACAGTGGTGAATAGCACTGACCAAGCTTCTACCGTCATGCGCTTACCTCCTCTGAGGAGACAGATGGTAAGCAAATATGGACATAGTAAACAAGGTAGCTTCAGACAGTGAGAAGTGATTTGAAGAAAACAGACAAGATCATGTGACTGAGAATGATGGGTAGGGGAGGTGGGGTAACTCAAACTATGGTGGTCTCTGGAATGAGAGGGTAGATGGGCTTTCAGTGGCATGAGCCGATCTTACCTTCACGGCCCCTCTAGGCTTGGCTCCCTTTCCAAGGCTTGGTCCCTAGAATCAAAGCCACAGTCATTAATGGGGCTTGCGGGGGGAGCAGGTTGTACGGGGCACAGTGGTCCATGGGTCTATGTGCAAGTTTGGTTTGGGGAAACTCATGAGAGAGAGACTTTTGCCCCAAAACCCACATGGTAAACAGCCATTGATGGCCAAAGGTCACACAGACTAGAAAAGGTCAAAGAGATTGCTCAGGAAGATAAAAAAAAAAGAAAAAGGATGAAACAAAACAGAATTATTGCGGCTTTCCTTTGGGGTTCAGAGAAGTGCTTGTAGGAGGGTCTTTCCCTTTCTTTGGCTGATGGGGGCTCCCCTGACTGGCAGTGGGACTTCCTCCTGGCTTTGGGGGCACCAGACCCACCTGGGTGCACTAGACCTCAAGTTTTGGGCAGATTTGGCAAAATTCCTAAGCTAAAACATTTGCTGTTTAGAATAAGGACAGCGAGTTAATGTCATGTTTATCATACTAAGACAGTTACCTTGAAGGCAACCACAGGCAGAAAAGGGCACAGTCTTTGGAACCAGCCAGACCAGTGCCTGAGTCCTGGACCTGCCACTTCCTAACTCTGTGACCTTGGTCAAATTACTTAACCACTCGGGGCCTCAGTAGTTTCATCTTAGAATGAGGATTAAAAGACTTACCTTGTAGGGGTTGTTATGAGATTCAAAGGAGTCTAAAGACTCCCAGGGCTAGCCACAGAGCCTGACACCTTAGTAGGCAGGCCCTTCATTCATTCCACAAAAACTGAGTACTTGCCAATGTGCTAGTCACTGTTTTAGGCACTGGGGATCTACCAGTGACCACATCAGACAAACATCCCTGCCCTTATGACACCCACATTCTAGTAGGGAAGGGGCAGGGAGACAGATAGACAAAATCATGAAGTAGAATGTACAGGATGTCAGATGGTGGTAAGTGGTATGAGAAGAATAAAGAGGGGAAGAAGAAAAAGTGCTTTGGGGTGGGGTGGGGGTGGGGCTTGTTTAAATGGGTGGCCGGGGAAGGCCTCTGATGGGAAGGCAGCATCTGAGATAAGAGCTAAGTTGGTGGAGTGTGTTCCAGGGAGGGGACTTCAAGGGCAGAAGCCTGGTGAGGGCAGAGGGGCGGCAGGGCCAGATGGCATGGGGCCTCGTGGGTCATGGTTAAGGCTTTGGGTTTTCTCTGAGTGATGTGGGAGACCCGGGAAGGTTCTGAGCAGAGGAGTCACTCGATCTCGCCGCTCCTGCCTGCAGTGAGCCTCTCCGCTCAGCACATCAGCGTCTGTGCTCGGGCATGGCAGCCCCTCCCCATGGAGGCCGGTAAATAGCGGACACTTTCAGAGCCTGCTGCTCCAGCCTGACTCCTTTGAGATAAATTGGTTTAGATAGTTTTGCCAAGAGGTGTATAAGGAAGAAGAGGGCCAATGCCAAGCTGGAAACAGAGCCCAGAAGTTCCTTTTCTGCCTCATACCCCACTGCAGTCACTGTTTTTAATCACTCCATCTCAAGGAACCAAAATGTGTGGCAGCTAAATGCCAGGCCCTGATGAGTTCCAGCAAGAGAGTGGGGATGGGAATACATACAAGCTAAGGGGGATGGGAGAGTCCACTCAAGCCCAGGCTCTTGCTACCTCAAGTGTGGTCTGGGGTCCAGCAGCATGGGCATCGTCTGGGAGCACGTGAGGAGCGCACACTCTCGGGCTCCACCCCAGACCTGCAGGGGATTGGTGGGCACAGGGAAGTGGGAGGGGCCCTGGCCTGGATATGGCGTGGCCGCCCGAGAGGTCAGGGGTGAACATGGAGAGCCACACATCGGCTTCTTGTCGGCTCACAGGTCAGCCCTGGCTGTGGGAGGGCAGTCCCAGCTGGCTTCTCTCCCCAGAAGGTCACCCTCTAGCCTCCTGGTGGTTAGGTTCACTGCTGTGTGAGAAAGTGCAGTGATCTGGCCCCTGGGCTTCAATTCGGACTCTGGCTGGCTGGGTGACCTTGAGCCAGTTACTTAACATCTCTGAGCCTGCGTTTCCTCATCAGTAATATAGGGTTAATAATACCTAACCCATCAGGATGGCTGTGAGGATGAAATGAGTTGATATATGTTAAACTTGTATTTGCAAAATACTGGTGTTCACTCCTTCCTGCTGACCCAGCATGACCCTGGGCAAGACAGGCCAGGTCCTGGCTATCACCTGGTTGGGAAGAAGTGTGGGAGACCTCGGGATGACACACCTGAGCTGGGCCTGGTCAAGACTTCCGCATATTTCAGTAACAGAACAGGCCTTTTGGAGCCTGCACCCGCCCCGAAAGACAGCCGCTCGCTCTGAGGCAGTGTCGGCCTCTCCCCACTTCCCCAGGCTGCTCAGCTTCTCAGACGGGCTCAGTCGCTGAGCTCACTTAGAGCAATTAGGCCCTGATCATAGTGTCTCCTGAAGGGACCATCGCCCCTCTGGTGAGGTGTGATTTGGGGTCACTTTCCTTACCTCTTGCTGAGGGGTAGGTAGGGAAGTGGTGCCTGAAACAAAGACTATTTCGGGGGCGAAGTTTGGTTGCGAAATATACTTAGACCTTTGAGTGAGAGTGATCCTCGCCTTTGCCAATAGCTGATATTCCTGTGGTTTGAAGGAGGGCACGGGTGGCATTGTGGCTTCCCCTTTTGGAGGAGGGCCGGGCTCGCTCAGTCCCCTGGAGATTTCCCAGAGAGGCGGAGAGGTAATGGTGGATGGGGGGCCCCTCTGCCCGGCCGAGGGGCTTCTTAGGAAACAAGGCTGAGGTGTATCTGAGAGCCTGCAGCGGGGTGAGAAGGTGGCCCTGACGTGTAGGAATGGCTTCTTTGGACACTCCTGGGGTACGGCAGACTCTCGGGAAGCCCCCAGACACAGGGGAAGGAAACTTAGGAGACGCTCCCTCCTGGCTTTCCCAGGCCAGCGTCCTGCTTTCAAATGCTCTGTCCTGCTGTCCTCTGAAGGACATGCCTTTGTGGCAGACCACACGTCCTGATTTTTGGATCCAGAAG